CAGATGAATGGATCAAGAAGATTTGGTCCATATATACAATGGAATATTACTCAGCCATCAGAAAGGATGAATATCCAACTTTTACATCAACGTGGATGGGACTGGAGGAGATTATGCTAAGTGAAATAAGTCAAGGAGAGAAAGTCAATTATCATATGGTTTCACTTATTTGTGGAACATAAGGAATAGCATGGAGGACACTAGGAGAAGGAAGGGAAAAATGAGGAGGGTGGAATTGGAGGGAGAGATGAACCATGAGAGACTATGGACTCTGAGAAACAAACAGGGGAGGGGGGATTGGTTAGCCCGGTGATGGGTATTAAGGAGGGCACGTACTGCATGGAGCACTGGGTGTTATACAAAAACAATGGGTCGTGGATCACCACATCAAAAACTAATGATGTATGGTGACTAACATAACATAATAAAATTAAAAAAAAAAAATGTAGTATGAGCATGAAAATTCTCAATGACTATCCATGACCTCTGATTCAAATTCAGACCACATAGCCTGGCATTCAGAAATATCCCTGCTCTGGTCCCAGAAGACCCTCTCAACTTTGTAATTTAAACTTGCCCTTCATGTACCTTACCCTTACAAAAACTAGAGTTAATCATTTCCTATCTCAGCCAGTTGAGATGGACCTTTTCTGAGTCTGTTTGGGTTGCTATAACAAAATACCTCAGACACAGTGGCTCATAGACAGCATTTATTTCTCTCAGTTCTGAGGCTAAGTCTCAAGATCATGGTGCTAGCAGATTCGGCAGCTGGTGAGAGCTTCCTAGTGTTCAGCCAGCACCTTCTTGCTCTGTTCTCCTGTGGTGGAGGAGGGAAAGCAAGCTCTCTGGGGCCTTAATAGTAGGACACTTCTCACTTCCCAAACGTCCCATCTCCATTTAATATCATTACATTGGGGGTGAGAATTCCAACATATAATTTCAGGGGGACAAAAGCATTTAGACTATAGCACCTTTCCTTCAGAATCTGTCCCTGGTTCTAGTTAGGCATTCTCTCCAGTTTCATTGTGCTTGTACTTTCCTTATAACAGTCTTTGTCCTTTGTTGGATAGGTTTTTGTCACACTGGTTGCATCTCCCCTACCTTGTTTGAAAGTCCTTGAGAACAGAATCTATATTTTACTACCTTATTCACCTTTTCATGCTAGGTGGTACCTTGCACAAAGTAGGCATTCAGTAAACATTTGTTAAATAGATTGCTGGTGGGTCAGAATGGCTAAAATTAACAAGTCAGGAAACGACAGATGTTGGCAGGGATGTGGAGAAAGGGGAACCCTCCTAC